CATTCATGCTTTCTCAGATGGTTTTTTTTTCATGTCAGTACATATAACTAATGCCCAGTAAATACAACTTATTTTGTTAGGTAACCACGTAATTGCATGCATGAGAGACGCTGTGTCCTCAATTTTTCAAAGGGTAATCATTGAAAGTGGACACGAGCGCACTCAAATTAATATCTAGTCAATAACGACTGCACATTGAGTAAACTTGGAAATGTATTTAGCATTAGCATCGCCATACAATGCCAGCTGTCATAATCAAATACTGAGTTTACACGTAGTACGCTGATAATCTTCACTGGGTTCAAGTACTTTGGGCTACACTGGTCCTGGAGACGGTGGATTGTACTTTAGTCGAATAATGTGGTATTAGTTAATCATGTACTATATTTCAGTACATTGGTCTTGAAACACAATAATCATTAGCACCTCCAGTCAGTGCACTAACCTGGCATCATAACTCAGTTGGTTAAATAAACAAATCCTAGTCCAAGGAGGCATTAGTTCAAATCCTAATGAGAAGTCTTTTTATCTTGACATTACCATATCTACAGTACTGTACATACTGTACAGTGTAATCAATAAATTTGTCTTTTAGGAATAAGGTATTTATTATAGCATTCCTTAGTACAAGGAGGCTTTGGTTCAAATCCTAATGAGAATTCTTAAACATTACCACTTCTACTACTGTATGTCTAATGATTATGGTTTTTTTTTACTCTATCAATGTATGTTATTTAATTACCACAGACCAATATTTAATATCAAACTCAATTAAAATCAGTTTCATTTATTTATTTAATCCTTTAAAATTAAAACATTTTTTTTTATTAAAAAATGTTTTAATTCTGCAAATACCAGTAAATCCTGCTATTAGTAATTAATCTAGATATTTTTAAAAACAAAAACATGAAAATAATTTGGATGAGATTATATTTATTTTACTGTATATTATGTTATAATATTGATATTACTAAATATTAATATTTATATAATAAAATGTATATGTCTTAATACATTTCAATATCACTTATTGCAATCAATATTTACATATATATTTCATTAAGCTCTGTTTAGCCATAAGCCACCAAGTAAACCAGAAATGTATCAACTTGTAAATAAAAAGTCATCCATTGAGGAAACTCATAAACTACTTTTAGAATTTTCCTTCACAAAAATTGACACGGTAGTTTCTGAACTAAGTTACATCTTAATTTGCCCTAAGCCTCTATGGGATACCCTCTAAGTTTGTCAGTCCCAGGATGAATGGATTTGGCCACAGCTACTTCATGTTTATCTCCCCTGTGACTTGATATTTTATCCTATCTCCTCACAGTACTATTGTAGGTGAACTTTAAAGAACCTTAGCTGTGTCCAAGACTTTGATTTAGGTGCAGCCAACAACGACTGCAACATAGGCCACGCATGACATTTTACATAGCTACCATATTATTATAGATTGTTGTTTTTTAAAATATAAATTTAGTATATAGATATTTTACTCTTTCTCTTTATTTAACTAAACCAGTTTTAATTTGTTATGCATGAGTACACATTGTTTATTCTATGAGTCTGTTTTTTTCATTGATGACATTGCTATTTTATTTTGAATTGATTTCTTGTTACAAGAGTTGACATGTCATCAATTTTTTTCAGTAAGCTGGGTATTCCACTTTTCCTTCTATTGACCTCTTTCCTGGAGCATGTTTGTGTATGTCCTTGTTTGGGTAGAAATATGAAGCAATTCATCATACATCTGCAGCTAAAATGTCTTTTTATAGGACATACCCTTACAAAGCCATTAGCAAGGGAAAAATCAGGCCAAGAAAATGAGGTTTCAGAACTCAAAGGCTAATTCTCATCAAAAACTGGGTTTATCGGCAAGTACCGATGTGACCATCACCCCCTACTTGTCCAAAATAAAAAACTAGGGAGTAGTTATTACCAAGTTGGTGAATGTTGGAATTGAGAATCAGGAAACATTATAAGTAGTGAAAATTGACTGAACATGTTGGTGTTAGACTAGGAAGTCAATGAACAATGAACAATTGAGTTATTCTACAGAATAATCAATCTCTTACTACACTATGACTCAAATTATCCAGTTTTACCAGCTTTTTTTTAATAGAGGGTAAAATCAATATAATCATTAACAATCACATCCCACCTGCCCTGACTCAAAATATTAATATTTTTTCCAGTCACATTGTTTCTGGTGAACTCCGTTCCATGGGATTTTAATACAGGATTGAAGGCTCTAGTCTAAGCTGGAATAGTGTATCTTAAGATTCAAGGATTCAAACTAATATAATAGGCATTATTTTTTACAAAAGTAGTAAGATTTCCTGGATGAATCCAGCTACATCGATATTACCATTTCATCCATTTTTTAATTACCATAACTGTCTAAAAATAAAATTACCAGGTTTCTTTTTTGCTGCGACAGATTACTGTATTAAATTTCATAATCAAATTGTATAATCTCCAGATAAAAAGGAAGACAAGTTTATTAAATATGCAGATTTTATTATTTATTATTTTTTGGGTAGGAAGTACACAATGTATTCCTTCAAGGAGTTATGGAAATAGTATAGGCCTGTTCAAACACCATGGCAAATACTGTACTATAGCTTGATAGTTCCTCAAATCCCAATCAATTACAAAACGTCAGCCATTTAATACATCTCATTTTCTAAATTCTTCTGACTTTATTAATATCACTTTCTTTTTTTTTTTTAATATGATCAATTTTCTATTCTTACCCCCTCTGCTCCCAAGTGCACCTTAGAGCATTAACATTATCCACTTAGGGCATTAACATTTTCAGCATATTTAGAACATGACAGCCTAGAGCTGGGATGTGGGATGCAAAGTAATAAACAAACTAGACCAGCATTCCAAACACTGATCTCTAGCCACCTTTCTAAGTTTCACAAACTGCAGCCAGTTACAACAAGACTAACAGAACAGTACTACCATTGTTTCACTTGCTCTGTCTTTTGAAAACCTAAACATTTGAATTCCTAGTTGTACTGTTCGTACCAACCTAGTTTAGTTCTGATTGTGTAACTAGGTAGATTTTTTTGTTATGGTAGGGTAAGTCTGCATTCAGACAATTCATGTTTACACTGTAATTTACAGTGTCAGCAATTATGTCTACCTCCACATTTCTGAAAACATAGATCATATATTTTAATGACAATATGGGTAGAGGAGTACATTCTATATAAAATGATAGTATGTAAAATATTGCTGGTAACAGCAGGACAATGGTAGCCATTCCATATGTAGTACTCCCATTAACATGTTCTAATTCTCATATTGTACTGTACTGCCAACACAATGTCAGTTATATAAGAAGGAATAAAAGGTCAAATAAAAGAAAATGTTATTCTTTGTCAAATTCCGCACCCTTTTTGGGCTACTGCCTGGTGTTGGTTTTCTTTTATGAGGTAAATCACCAGGAAAATCTTGTAGAAATCCACTTAAAATCATAGATGATGATCCTCATAGGTGTATAATAGGTGCATACATTTTGCATGTTGTGGCCATTCTTACTTAAGCTGCAATTGTACTGGACTTAAAAAAGGAAAGGTTTTGACCACGACTGTAGATAACATTCCTAAATCTAGGTAAAAGGTAAATCTTACTGCTGTCCACACATGGATTTTTGAATTAGTTAGTTTTACTGCGAGAATTAGTAAAAATGACCCAGAGGACACGGAACTAGGGGGTGCTACGTTATGGAGAGTAATGTCAGGGGGTGCTACGTTATGGAGAGTAATGTCTGACCGGAAATGGTCTGCCAGTTGGTTGTTACCATACGCCAGTGATGTTTGAGTACAGCAAGATGAAACTATTCATGTAATGCATGAATAAAGTTCGGGGTTTGTCGGGTAGTGAAATGATTATTGTACATTTTAAGTGCTCCCTCCATGCATAAGTGTAAGCTAAATTACAATGATTAATTAGCGAAAATATGGAGAAAAGACATTTTGAAGTTCCCTCTTTCCAAGAGGGGATGCAAATGCATTGTGAAAATGAGTACGCAGCGGTACTCATTTTCACAAAGGAATACACTCAGCTGGTTAGCTAACTAACAATATGCAAATTTACATGAACACCTAGGAAGAAAGGTGCAACCACGTTCTGTTGCCTAGCAAACTTCTGTACTTTAGCGTGTGGGGGTGGGGGGCTAGCCTACTGATGTACTGTGTTTAGCAGGGGACGATGAAGCATAATGACTAGGCCTAGGCCTAACTAGACAGTGCAATTATATGTGATAGAAAGTACACTTTCGAAAAAAATAAATTAAAATAAGAAAAAAAAAAAAAACTAGAGGGCCTAAGAATAATTCAGTTGCAGACGTACTTTGTTTAAGTATTATATGCTAACTATATGCGGCTCTTATAGACCTAGCTAGGAAAGGCATTCATTCATGTGCAAAGCAGTGGTGTTTGTTTATCCATGAAAAAAGCACGCCAGGAAAGTTTGCCTTACCAGGAAAAGGCGATGTAATCTAGCTTATGACGTATGCATGCTGACTATAGCGTGAGTGTGACGTCACCAACAAAATTTCTATTATAACCAAAATATTAATAACTACAAGGTTTGTGGGTGTAAATACCCTTAATACGAATTAAGGGTAGCACCATCTCCTTGCCATACAAATTACAGCTCCCATTGACGTCTCAGTCAAGAAATACGGGTAGCTGAAGTTTTTCTCGAAAATCTGACTACGAAACCAAATCGAAATTCACGTTCCACTTCCGACTCTGAGTTGTGCTTCGCACACGCCGCTGAGGGCTGCGTTCCGGGAACCCTGCGTCAAGCCGTGAAAATAAACCATTGAGGGCACTAACCCACTACATCATCCATTGAGTAATGAATGACTTTAACACACATTCACATTTAGATTTTTTGGGCTCGGTAAAACTGACCTGGTCAGTTTTACTGGGCATATTAAATCCACACTTGTTTTCAGTAAGTTTTCCTGAGAGGCAATATTCCAAGGTTGTTCACACTGGACAAATTATGGTAAAACTAACCAGTGTCTTGATTTTCACTGAAAAAAAAGTCCAGTGCAAAGTGTAAATAAACTTATAATTCTAATAAAACACAACAAAGTATAATTATATTATATAATATCTAATATAAACTTTCTTTTACAGTAATCTAATTGAAAATTTTTTCTTTTAGCTTTGTTGATACAAACATGAGGATCATGAAGATAGTTAATCATGTTCAAAAGAAGTAGCTTTCCAACAGTGTGTTCTTTTTTATTTATTATAAATCTCTAAGTTCTATTTTTTTTTAGATGTAAGGTAAACTATATAATTTGGTAATTAAAATATAAATACATGAAACTGAATAAAAAATAACCCCAAAAACACTATCTAAAAATTGAAAAAGTATTTCATTGTAAAGCAGAAAAAATAATATTAGTATACAGTACAACATGACATTTTATATTTTTAACATTAATAAAAATCAAACTTATTCCAAATATCAAACAAATGAATATAGTAAACAATAGGCCCTACATCAGATATATACAAGTTCCATAGAATATGTGTGCATTAAAGTTTTAAAAAAAATATGTCTGACATGCATAGTTATTTTAATATATTACCATTATACATTATATTAAGTGTATGCGAATTATACACAATTTTATGAATAAACAGTCAACACTAGATTTCTTTTTATTATAAAGATGGTGATTGTTAAATAAAGAAAGTAAACTACAAAGCAACAGGCTACTGTTTTAGGTAAATTATCATCTACCAAACTCTAAGTGACACCACACTTACTGAACATAAATCAGTGAAATTCTGGTGGGAAAAAGATCCACATCAGACTCAACCAACCCAGCTTCAACATCCAGGATAATGGGCCTCCAAATTTGGCGAAAGACTATTAAATACTCCCAAGCTATGCTAGACAAAAGGCAACCATAAATTAACAAGATTGAGAGACCGATGGTGTAGATTTAAACTATAGAGGTTTAGTTTTTCTTGGGTTAATTTACGAGTACTATCCCGTCACAGCTGAAGACTGAACAATAAATAACACTATCTCATCGCTGATGTAGTGGATTAGAACTTCTGGACCAAAATATATATTTTTTTTCTTTCTGGTCAATTTCATGAGGAAGAAAAGTTTATAACAAATGGTCTTTCCTTTGGTTCCCAGGAGGAGAGCAAGTACAAAAGGGATTGCGCTTGTGTGATGTCAAAGGTCAAGAGCAATAAGAGGAATGTTTAAAAGGTTAACGACATGAAGCCTTACAGGAGGGAACAGAATAAACGCCCAAGTTGCCACATTCTCACACTGTTTCCCAACTTGTACTTATGTAGATTCATATGAACAATAATTATTAAATTATTTTAAGTATCTGTAGATGAACTATAATTATTTATACATTTAATTACTTTACACTGATTCATATTTTATGAACTTCTTACTGTAGGAAATACAAATGGTGATGAATCAATCTATAAATAACATTTTAGCAAGACAATAAGTCTCATCAAATTTAACAAAGAGCTATAGAACAAACAGGCCTAATAGTATTCTACATTTAGCATCTGATAAAGCAATTTACAATACATAAAATGTGAGAAAAAATTAAATAAAATTGTTATAAAAAATGTATTAATAGGCCTGTTTATTTTACTTCAAATCAAAAGTATTTCACTTCAACATGGAAAATTATTCAAATATTCTCAAGTAAAATAGAAATTGATCAAAATAATAATATACCCTATAGACCTAAGTTTTATGTTTTAAAGTTTACTTTTTCTTTGTAATACAAATTGATATTTTTCAACTCATTGTTCTAGGCTTAAGTAAAGATATATTTTCAGGTTATCAATCCTAATCAATTTTGTTGGAAATGTACCAGTTCTTATCATCACAGTTATAATTAAATGTGTTCAGTAGAGGGCTGGACTCTTGCAAATCATGTTTTACATAACAATAATGACTGTAGATACCAACATCAATAAAAGCCAACTTTACAGTTAGACAATACAGGTGACAATTAGGTTAAGGAAAAGTAAAAACAACACTATTGTTTGGCTCATCAAAGATGTTTCATACAGTACCTGAAAACAAATCCATCAGAAACGCAAGTAAAAACTAAAATGTAAAACTCCAAGTATTGAAATACACGCCATCGTGTTGGGATTCAATATTTCGACATTAATTATGTCATCATCAGGAATAAAATGTATTACAGTGGTCCTGCCAAAAAGATCCAAAGCCAAGACCCTGTGACATCCATTTGGTTGCTTTGATTGAGCTATACAATTATATTTAGGTTACATTAGTTATTTTCTTAGATTTTTCTTATATTTAGGACACATGTTCTTGAATTTATGCTCCAATTTTTATGCTATTTTTAAGTGTAATTATTACAATTTTGATTTGTTGTATAAACTTTTGTTTTGTTTGCATTTGTTTTGAAATAAAATTTAAATATAGACAAATATGCACTTAAACTATCATAGTAAATGAAGGACAAAAGGGTGGACATCCACCCTTTTGTTCTTAATGTATATATGACAGCACTTTTATCATATTTGTACATTCACCTGAAGAAGACCACTGCGTGGTTGAAAGCTTGTGATTAAATTAATCTGTTAGTCTGAAAAGTGCTGTTTGTTCTTCATTTACTGTTATCATCTAGACTAACGTGGCTACCCCATCTTAAACTATTATGTCTTCTAAGTGCCTCTAACACTGCTTTAATCCAAAATTATTAAAACAACTATTAAGTCCAATTTGGTATGGACCTACTGGAAGCCAGGGTACCTAAGCAGTTGGCTTTGGCCTTACACTACAGACAGTTAAAATACAGATGTAACACAGCTACAGTACATGTTGTATCAAAAAATCATTGCATACAATTCACTAATCACTATTTACACTGCACTGTTTACTGTACATTGCTGTTGAGTCGAGTTAAACCATGCAAGTAGTTAAGTGAAGTGCACCCTCAATAACTTTTATTTTAGCAGTCTCCTCTTTCAGTAAGTTATTATTGGTGGAGAATATTATCTCAGCCTTTACTATTTTAATTAAATTTCAATTTATCATATTTATAATCAACTTTCAAAATAAAACATAATTTAGAGGGTATTGGTACGGCTTATTCCAGATAGTTAAACATTAAAACAGCATAAAATTACATTTTAAAAAACGTTTGGATGGGATTAGTATACCTACTATAGTATAAAGACAGGCTTGTGTTAATATGATATTTATATTATTATATAAATAGACTAGTCTATAATAATGTTTGATTCCTGTTAGTTAATCAAAATATATCCTCAAAATAGTTGTGTTGATTATGGGTCTACAATCTATCTCCAATTACAATACTTATTGATAGAATAATTTGTGTACAATGTAATTTGGTCAGAGTACTTTAGCACTTTAGTTGTATAAGTGATGTGGATAAGATAAGGTAATCTCCAGTGATGAAGATAATAATGATGTTGATAAATTGCATGGATAGATGGATATGTAATTATCCACTTTCCTAGCACTTAACAATGTGTGCAATTCTCCTGATTGTAGCATGCTTTTACATACACACAACATTTTTGGGGGATTTTAAAGAGATTCATGCACATCAATAAAGAAGACTTTATGGTAGATTCAACAGAACAAAATTATATCATGGTCATTCCATACGACAAACATTAGCGTGTTTTTAACTAAATAATTACATAGATACAGTAAAAGTTCATGGACAGCAATAACTTGTGTATACAGTTAGGACCCAATGATCTTCAAAGAAATATTTAACATTATAATAATTTCACTTACTGTAATTAGTCCTCATAATATTGGCATTTAAAGTTACTGTAGTTTTATTGTAGCTTTTCTTTTCAGTTATTGTAGGCCTAACTTAGACTGGGTGGGTTTCCATCGTGGGACTATGATCTTGGTCATTTGTTTTTAAGGTTTATCGGAATTGCAAGTCTAACCTAAAAAGGAAGAACATACATAGATTCAAGGGCCCTCAGTAATATGCAACTTCCTAATTAAAGCAAGTTGACCAGATCTGAACTCTGACAGGAGCTGAGCCCAGCTCCAAGCTGGCTCTTTCCCATGATGATGCAGCCTTCAAAATAGACAACCCGTTATCAATACTGATCAACATAATCTGTAGAGGGAAACTAACAGTAAAATGCTTTTCTTACTTGATTTACATTGTACAGAACCTTCATGTTCTCTGAGTAAAAATTATACCAATACCTACAATTTGTTCCAAATGATTTGGCACACTTTGATGCTAAATGGAACACCTACTACTGTATACCAACGGCTCCAAGAGTAAATATTTTACTTCCCAATCTACAATATTTATAAACTATCTCAGTCTATAATCTATCATTATTCAATATTTGACAATGAAAGATTACAGTCTTGTTTTAACTACACACTTAAAAAAAATCCATGTTTAATTTGTTTTAAAAGGATATGAAAATAATTTCCTGCTAATTAGAAGGTACCTAACGAAGACTGTAACACTAATCATGTTCTGGACTAAATGTTTTATGCTTGATTTCCTGTGAAAAATGTAACTTGTATTACTGTACAGAATAATATCATATCATATCATATTATGCTAAATGTAAACTATTAAATAATATTAGAATAAAATGATTTTCTACTAAAGTATATACAAGTAAAAATATATATAAAAGTAAATATAATTAAATAAAAATATTGAGAAAAATTGTGGATCCCTGCTAAACTACTCTGGTGATACCGTATGGGGCTATCCCTCATATATTTATGTTATATCACTATATGATATAGTTCTATCGAAGCCCTCTGATGAAAAGCATTGAATTATTTTCACTGCACCATCATATTATTTTCAGGAAAAACTACAAATTTAATTTAAGTATGCTGAACTAATATAGATTAGGGCCTACTATTTATTATCATTCTATTAATTTTTAGTTTAAAATTTCAATCCATAGAGTTTACTACAAAGTTAATACCAATTCTTCCTCATTAGGATTCACATGTGTTATGTCAATACCACAACTATCAAACCATGGTTGATCACTTCAAAAGTTCTAAGAACTACAATAAAAAAGATCTATTAAAAAGCTACACAACAAGACTTCAAATAAACATTTGTGGTACAGTATGCTTTGTTTTGTATAACATATTTTCTTTCAAGCGAAACACCAAGCCCAGGCTGAAATATAAATGTGTGGATAACTTGTATTACACATAATGTTATAGGACGCAATTTGAATGGCAAAAACATTTTTCAGTTTACCTGATTTTTAGGTGTTTTCAAACACTTTTCACTTATATCTATGTGAAAACGGTTTTGACAAAAAGCACTGTTGTCAACATTCCAGTGGAGATGACAAATGTTTAATACAAACAACAAACAAACATACATACCTGACACTGTAATACTAAACCAAGCTTTAGGCCTAACAGTACATGCATTGGACAAAAATTAAGATAGTGCAGATGAAATCCCTTCATAGAGTACTACAGTGGTACGTCACGATACCACGTGATACTACTCCGTTGCTATCATTGCAAAATGCGTTCAACCCAATGCCATTTTCTGCACTGACAAACCACTGATCCCAATTTCTAACGTAATTATTAAGATGTTGTATCTTACTTTTCTTTGCAAATTTTAATTGATGATTAAATGTGTGTTCGATAACTAATATAATGCCAGATTTTGTGTTTTTAGTACATTTCGATGGTAAAAATATTAGACTTTAAAATTCCTATTCCAGAAAGCCTATGAAGTCATTCAGGCGTAATGAACGGTGACCTCCGTCTGTTGACAACAGAGAGCGCCACCTGGCATCGTAACGACACGACTATGGTACTGTATACAGTATGTTTTTTTTTGTGGCCCTCAGTGACATGATCTTCTCTCTAGTAGTAGAAGGTAGCAGGTCAGAATGGACAGTGTAAGAATTATATAAGTATATTAGTATTTAACGTTAAATCTGTAATAATATTATTATTACTACTACTCTTAAAGAATAACATAATTAATATAATATTTAACACTGATCGGATTCCAGATATTAACTGATAAGATTCTCATACTTATGGTATCACGACATTTTTATCTTTTTGGATGAAATACTATCAACAATATTTTTTAAATCTGAATTTTTTATTTTTAAATTCTTAAAAGGATTCTGTCAAATAAAAAAATAGAGAGTTCTTTTGACACATTCATAGTAGAGAATATCAGATACTGTATAGGCCTATATGGTGTTTATATTTGGATTCAATACACTAATACATGACAACTTCCTGAAAGATGACTTTGAATCAGTCAACTCATAAGCCATATTTACAATATCTGATAATGATTAAAATTTAACCAGAAAATTTTTTTTAAATCAAGTAAATCCCGGGGAGGTCCCTGAATCAATAAGTTAGCAATTATTAATATCAAAGATATATCAAGCAAATGTATAATTGTACTTCCTTAATCGATCCTGGATGTTACTTTTATGCTTAATTATTGATATATTGTAATAAAAATTATTAATAAATGAAGTACAATATGTAAATAAACCAAGTCTAAGGTTTTATAAAGTACTAAATATTTCAAAATTATTTTCAAAAACACATGTTATCATTCTGCTGCCATGTTTAAAAGCACATGATATAATTTCAAAACATTTAAATCTTAAACTATTTTAAGAATAACCTCATAAATACACATGTATTGTGATCCCATGGAATAACACGCACTACCCACTATGGCTTCACCTTCGTGGGCTATTCCTACAAGCTGTGTTTACCTTAAGGCAATCTACAGTATATGAGACAATAGTTTACTAACTGAAAACTCAAGTTGGACATGGTGTTACATACAACATGCTATATTTAGCATGTTGAATGTTTCATCACATTGCTTAATGTTACTATTATTTCACAAATTATTACACCAGATAAATAGTTAATAATATGTGAAATATTAACTTATTATCACCTCATTGCCTCAGAATATTACAAACATTGGTTTTTATTACTGTAGTACAGTATTTTAAATCATGTTGATGAATAACTACTTAAGTCTTTGGAAATTGGTTTAGTGTAGACTTTTTTGCCCTGGCATCATAATTTTTAGTCCATTTTTATAAACAGTAGCTCAATAGATTTACAACCATTCCCCAATACCAGATAATAAAAATTATTACAAAAAAATATCTCCCAATTCCTCGTAAAGGGGACACTAAATAATCTTATATCATAATGAAAATAACTATTTACTACATACAAATAGGAGGTCAAAAATAAATAATTCTGCTGCTACTCTAGAAAAATAATCATTCGCCATTTAACCAGACAATAAAATTATTTTAAAATATCTTCTTAATGGAGACACGAAAGTAATCTCTGCTTATGAATAAAATTTTTAAAAACAAACAAAAATGTATTTTACCTGTTTTCTCTTTTATTTCACAAAGTACACTGAAAAGAGCTGGTTTCATACGATGACAATTTAGAGCATGCTTTCTGTAAGATAAGCCAAAAGAAACAAGCCATAGATTTCTAATCATAACAAATGTATTACAATAATAAACATTTGATAAATCATTTTTCAAAATCCTGTCTTTTGGATGAATTTACTCTACCGACAACACTTGATCTTGATCTTTAACTGGGGAAAATACTGGTGTAACACGCTCAAAAATAGGGTTATTTGGATTATAAAAGAACTAGGCTAGGTATAGATCTAAGCCTAGGCCTAGATGGTTTTATTCTGTCTTGCCTGGCTAAGCGTCAGACTGGCTTGGGCTTATGCTAGCCTAGTCTTCTTCTTGTGTGTTGTGTTTACTTTGATTTGTTCTGACCAGGCATATATATTAAATCTAAAATCATTGAGTCCATTAGAGCCACGGTATAAAAATAACTGTATTGAAGTACTGTAAACCGTGTATAAATCAGAAAATCCAACGTAAAATACGTGGTACAGGCCGCCGTAAAACATTGTTTTCCTAGGCCCATGTTGTGCGACAACGAAGCACAATTGATGAGACCGCCTGTGCGACTCGTCGCGCGAGTGATTACTCGTCACAGCAGCTAGCTTACCTGGCTTGTGCTTCATCTAAACTCTGGTCTGTTATAGACATAATCTGCTGCAAAATATCTCCAATTTCTTGCTTTCTAGATTCTTGGTCCTGTGGAGGACCTTGCTCCGAATGTGGCTGCGTTGGCTGCATATGGGCTAGCATACTAGCTTGGTGAACGATATGGCCTGGCGTGGCTGTGTGTGGGACATGCATACCGGGGTGGTGATGGTGGTGAGGCTGTAGCCTTTGTTGCTCATCCATAACCGTTTACGGCAAAAAATGTTTCGCCGCCGAAATCCACCGCTTGCGAAAATCCTGTCAGGTTCAGCCAACAAATCACACGATGAAGGAAACCAAGCACGTGGACGACTTCAACAGGCTGTCAATTGCCGTAGTAAAAAGCTGATGAAACGAACTGTTTTTATTCTAGTGTTATTTGTAGGTGGGAAAACCACGGCCTGACGGCTCAAAACGCCACTCAAAGTCAAGACGTGTCTAGGCCCAAGCGTACAAGCCCCGCCTATGATGGATGACTGACAGTCACCCTTGGCAACTACCTAGCTCATTGGAATTAAATTCAATTCGCGGCTAGCTGAGAGAGCAGCAGCATACGTACGTAGTACGTAAATGATAAGTTTGGCTATTCACCACGTGCCGTTATCTATAAGAGCAATTGCTATATGGAAATAATCGTCTAAATACTGACTAGCATCAAATCGCTATACGGTATTGCAGTTTACTTTGGGGAAAAAAGGAAGCCTATGCCTATCCGAAACTTATCAATAATACACAATGAACTAAAGGAGAAAAAACTAAAGAAAATAGGGAGTTAGCCGTTAACACTGTTGAATAAATATAATATAAATCGTCAAAGGTACATATACCTACATATACCTTATAAGACTTATTCGTTGAAAAGCTACAGGGTAGCCTACGATGTTCCATCATGTCCTTATTTAAACACTGTATAAAAATCGCAATAATACCGTAGATCATAGTTTTTAGTTCATGTGCATATCAAAATATAGTACTGTATAACAAACATGGAATCATTGTAGGCCTTTACTCACTACAATATGATTACTCTCATTATTATCTGTAATAATAATTAGGCCTATATGAATAATTTTATATAAGTTATTTAGGCATCTATTTATACACATCATAGGCCTGGTAAAATAACGCACATTATACACACAGTACGGTACATTAAACGTTTTTATTATGCTTTTTAGCATTCATTGCACTGAAATTAAAGACGCCATGTTTTTTTTACTGTTATGTATTTCTCCGTCTATGTATTTTGTATTGATGATGTGGAGATAAACTTTATATTGAAATGAAAAAAAAACCAAAGTATTGTACGCACTTGCTACAAGAAGTTTTTTTTAAAGATAAATTAGATAATAAATACAATTATGTAGCACACACCATTCTAAATATTTTTAAAATAAGTTTAAAGTGTAGGCCTATTTCTTTTTGCGTCTTAAGTCTCAATTTAATGTGTCTTCTGTAGCTGAGAAGAAATAATATATAGGCCTATATTTTCTAGCGCAGTTTATGAAACTGAGAGTAATTAACCATTTGTATGTTTGTACTCAGTGCATGCCTGGCTCTGTTCAATCCATGAAATGTAGGCCTAGGTTTTTTTTCTTTTGGGAGAGAGATGTTAAAACCGTTGGTCCCGTGTACAACAAGGTGTAGGACTAGAACGCATTAAGCCCGGTATTATAAACAAGGATTGTCTCCTCCTCCCTGCACTGAATTACCAGATGCCCAGCCAAATTTCTTGGAGGAGCAATGAGTTAACATATTTTATTTAATCGTTTTATTATTAATTTTTATTAACTATTGCTATTTCATTTCATTTAGAATTATTTTATCTCAACATTATAATTAGTAGAAATTATTCAATCAATTAAAATTACAAGATGTATAATATTTTTTTTATTAATTAGGCCTATATTCGGTCATATGTAAGTGAATAAAAATATTAAAATTTGTAGCATAGGTCAAAACATTTATTTATTAGATGCATTTACACTTACTAGCTATAAGCATTCTGTATTCATACTCAAATGCATAGGCCCCAATTGTTTTTCATCACCAGAGCATCATCGTCATCTTCATCATCTTTTTAGATGTTCGCTATTTGCTTATCATTTTCAATAGAACTATTTAAGTAAACAAGTATAGGATTAAGGCCGAACGAAAACAGATGTGGCTATGTTTATTTGCTGTAAGGAATGCTTTCGAGTTTAAATGTTAGCGAATAGAACTCCGGAGAAATTGTCAGTGTTTTTCTGTAGATAATATTATTGTTTTAATGAAAGAAATATTATGTTTTTAAAACAAATTTATTTTGTTGCGTTTCTTTTTATCTTCTTCCGATTGCGTTAACTGACGATTGAAGAGGCTGAGGTGGAGCAGAGATCAGGCGGCTACTTCAGATTCTTAAAGTAGTAACTCACTCCGATTTCCCTCTAGCCTACCCCGTGTGAATTTTATAATTTATATTTTGGAAGATGCTACATTGTCTGTAAATAAACTCTGTATATAAGACATTCGTTAATTCGTTTTAATTTATTAATTGAGAAATATAGACCTAGCTCTAATAAGCAAGAACTATTTTCTCCATTACATATTATTTCATAGGCCTAGATTCGTTCTGAGCCCTTCACCACACTTTTATTTTCATTTAGACCTATGACTATTGTAATTTCTTCATTTAATGAACAAATAGGCCTAAATATATTGTTCTTAAAGTTTTTAAAGAAAAATTATAATGATCATATCAAGAACTCAGTTCAGGTGTTTGATTAAGCTCAAATGCGATATAAACAGATGCCCACGAAATCGCATTCAAAAAAATCCAGAAACATTTATTATTAAAAATTATTCGTAGTGCCTTACCTCGTATAGAGGGCGCTGTGCACATTTTTATGGAAAAGGTGTGTAAATCGCTAGTGAACCTTGCGTTTGTTGATAGTTTTGTAATTCGATACTATCTGTAATCCACTGGCTGAATGGAACACCACTGTACTTCAGAACAAAAAATATAAAGCATATTATAGTACACTATTAACTGAAATTATTGTTAGCGACCTAATTGTTGGCCTAATTGTCAGTGTGAAACGCCGTCAATTTAACACCAGCTTCTTCAGGCCTACATTTGACCGGTACAATGCATAAAGCTTTGATATTGAGCTTATTATTTAATATATATTTTGTATATTGTTGCTTACTATTATCCTTCGTAATGTTAGATAAATAGAACTCCGTATTTGGCATTAGGCACATATCCCACGAAAACCATTGAAAACCTTAAAGTGTTTCAATCTATTTTGCTACAATCCGCATATTTTGAACCAAAAAGAAAAAAATGTTTTCGTGGTACTTGATCACCTATCTTGGAATTAAATTATAAATGTAATCATAAAATATGACTGTAATTGCAATACTAATTCTTATGTCCTTTGAGATTATGGAAAATATGTAATAGACTTACTTTCAAGACTGGTCCTATAGAGAAACATTGATTATATTAGGCAGCAGGGACGAGGGTTACACCATTCAACGGAGCTTTGGACCCTTGATGTTCTATAATTTGGTCTCACTTCCCTCAATGGATAGTTCCGCTAAGCCTCACCTCGGTTGGGTATGAGACTAAGGGACCACAAAACGACAGCATAAACGCACGCAACCATGTGTGATTTATGGGACATGCGCGTATTACTGGCTATTGAATAACATGGTCTAATTGGTCAGTAAGTTTTCCATGCGTCTACTGAGACTGGAAAGCAAACTTTTACACGAAACCACAGCTCGGATACAGACGTTTTCATTGGCAATAAGACTAAGAGGATACTAACCTAGTTAGTAGTCCCATGATGAGAATTTACTTCAATAAAAGCACTAAATTTGTTCCGCTTTTACTCTAATAATGATTCGTCAATGTTTGCTTAGTGAAATGGTTTTAAAAAATAGGCCACCGTCGTCCTATGTCTAATGTAGATAATGTCAACCCCAATCACGTTCAACAACCATTGCAATCACGCGTTAAAATTCAGTAATGTGGTTAGTTTTCGTTTTAAAGACCTACACAGAACCAGGACTAAAAAAAATATGCAATGTCAGTGGTATGTCGTCAAGCTTGGAAACTTTTATCATGAAACCGTTACACTCTCTGTGGTCATACAGAACTCTGTATTGTCGTTGTTATCATCATTCATTCATTCATTCATTTATCATCATTATCATCATCATCATCACCACATCATCACCGCCATCAACATCCTCATCATCATCATCATCATCATCATCATCATCATCATAATCATAATCAAATGAATCAACTGTAGGCCAACTATGTATTTTCATCAAGCATAAAGGAATAGGCCTAAGCCATTATCGTATACTCAATAATAATAGTAATTATTATTATTATTATTATTATTATTATTATTATTATTATTATTATTATTATTATTATTATTACTATTATTATTATTATCTTAATTATAATTATTATTATTATCATTATTATTATTGTTATTATTATTATTATTATTGTTATTATTATTATTGTTATTATTATTATTATTATTATTATTATTATTATTATTATTATCGTCATCCTCATCCTGACATGTCTCCCTTTTTTTATTTTAAAAATGTAGGGTCGGGCGGTGAGAAAAAAAATAATGTCAATATGCACAAAATTGCTATTTATGTTTACTGATAAAAAAAAAAAACCGTCACCAATAAAGCATGTATTAACTATAAGCTTTTGAAATGTGGGCATATCTCAGGATGTTAAAAGTCTCTTGGATTGACAAGATTCCGAATACAATATACGGTAATCGAGCAGCGGAAAAATACAAAAAGATAAATTTTAAATATAATGAAATCAAGAAAACTAAAATATTTTGGCCACCTTATCAGAAAAGACAGACTCCAGAGACTATTATTGGAAGAACACACAGGCAGTAAGATAAGTCGGGGTAGGCCAAGAGTTGCTGGTGCAATAATATCACAGACTGTGTCAACATGTCCTATTTAGAGACAGTTGAGAAGAGTGTGGAATAAACACGAGTGGCGAGCCATTGCATCCAACTCTCAACCAGAGGACGGAACTTAAGAAGAAGAAGAAGAAGAAGAAGAAGAAGAAGATAGAAATTCAAGCATGAAAATATACTTGTAATAACTGAAAAACTAAATATGTCTGTTTGCATGTTTACATATTATCGGTGTTATTAACACGCTGCCGGGGACATCGCCCCCACCCCCGTCGGACAAATCCTGGCGCCACCGTTGTTGGTTACCGTATGCAAGGAAACAAAACTGAGGAAAAAAAAACACACTCTAGCCATTTGGGTGCAGTTTTGTATATTAGGTATTAAACAGTGATTGGGTTCACTATTATTGAAAAAATAATAAATTTACCATGGGCCATAATAGGCCTATATTCAATTTTCAATTCAATACTAACATTTATTTCTCTTATTTTCTCTAAGTACAAATAAAATAGCATAAAACTAAATTAATAAGAGGAGTAAAATCCC